TATATATATATATATATAAATTCCTCAATATATTGAGTACATGAAAAATATATTAATGATCAATTAAAAAAATAAATAAATTATAGATGTAAATTATATTAAATTTTTGTTAGATTTTTCTAGGATATTATTCAAAATTATTTTAAATGAGAAGAATATACCTTATTACACTTGAATAATGATTGGTTGAATGTACTGCAATTTAATTACGATAACGTCTCTTTTCAACTTTTGTATATACACAATATAATCTAGAAATCGTTCATTATTTTTTTTTATCATTTATTATTAAATTACACTAATTGAAATCATTATATTTATCTTCAGATAAACTATTAATTTTATTATGTTTATCACTTTTATATCGTTACCTATATTACCCATTTGCTCTCTATAAAGGTAGAATTATAAATAAATGGGTTTAACTTGTATACTGAGTATATATGTACTTTATTTAGTTGGTCTTATTCATAATTTTGCTATCAATTTTATATTTTATAGTACTACATTTTTTAAATTCTCATTTCATTTGTTATTTTTAAAATAAAGAATGGACTGTTCTATTGGAATACATTTAAATGAAAAGTGACATCAAAATGTTTACCATAAGATAATAAATGCTAGTGATGGTGTAGGTGGTACTACAAAAAGGCTAGTCACCAAATATAGTTTACAATGTGTTATTAAAAACCATATTTTAACTCCAAAAGCTATGTATGATTATTGTGGAGAAAACATAAAAGGAATAAATATTTTTTTGGTTCCTTCAAGTGAAGTACAAGAAAATAAAAAATTATTAGAAACTAGATTTGTACAAGCGAAAACAATGTGTTATAAATTTATATATCTTTGTAATTTTATCGTCGTATTCAGTTTTCTTATTTTTAAATAAAAATGTTAACTTAAAATTATTTAGTGTACAGCTAATATTTTTTTTTTAACGAATACTTGAAGAATATCAATTTTTATATGTAAGTATTTGCATATTATGTTATGATATTATTATCTGACAATGTGAAATTTGTTCGCTTGAAAAAAAAAAACTGGAAATCCAACCGGAGTTTCCATTAAATAACATTATACCTGAATGTCATTGGTTTCTATTTTGTTAATTATGTATGAAATTTTTTCGTTTACAGATTTTATTTATTTTACATTCCATAGCAAAAATATTATCTCATGTTAAACTTTAAGTTAACATTTTATATATTTATTATTGAAAAATTTCATTAATTTATGCTTAAGCATGAATGAAGACTATCCAATTATACGTTCTGTAGTATTCAGTCTATCGCTAGAGAAAGGAAATCGTCCTTTTAAAGTATGATTAATTTATATTCTCCAAATGTATAATTAAATTAATAATTATAAAAGTAAACATTGATTATTATAAAACTGATTCATGTATATGTAAAGTGAAAGTCCTTAGAGCAAGAGAAACCTGTACGTTTAGCGAGTGTGTGTTGATCAAACAGTTTGTTCATAACAGCTATTCACAATGGTCCATGTGCCATCATTCTTAGTGCTGTCTTTAATCGTAATGGTTTCCTGTAAGTAATTCATATAAATATTATATTATTTTTATAAAGTTAAAATAATTAGAGCAAGTTGTTTTATGCAGTGTTAAATATTTTTCTGTAATATATTTTATATTATATCAGTTTTATGATGTATTAATTAATAATAAGTAAAAAAAATCGTATTATCATCAATGTACAATAGTAAATGTTTTTCGATATAACACCGTGTTTCATATTTGTAATTGATAGTTGCATTTATTCATTTAATGACGCACATGATTAAATCATGCATTTAGGTCATCATTGCACACGTCATAGTTGTCAGTTATTTCGAAAATAGTCATTCACAGACAAGTAAAATACATAGACTTATTAATAAATGGACTGCGCTTTGGATAAAATTAGTGTTCTGCACATGAAATATATTTAGAGTGTAATTTTATAAGTAAAAGTATTCCTCCGAAAAAAAAAATAATAACCTTATCCATTAAGACGAGTTATAATCAAGGCTACTATTTCTTAGTAATGTGTATTTTTTATTAATTTTAAATAACACTTGATTTAATGTAAAATACATAACACGAATTACTTTTACTTTTTACTCGAAGGACAAAAAGTTTGAAGAAAATTTGTTTTACTTATTTTAAGCTTATTAAATGGAATTGAATTTCACAGTCGTGGTTTTATTATAATAAATGAAAACTATTGAACTAAAGCTTTGTAAATAAGTTGTAATAATATATTTAGACAAGGTTTGCAATTAAAACATCTATCCAAATTTTTAAGAAAGCGATCTTAATATTATATTGCTTATCATTTTTTATAAAATTTATTTAAAGAACTTTTAATACTTAAATTACTTTCTTATTTTCAAATAGAAATATATAACATTTTATTCAAGAATACACAAGATGGAATATTATATTTTAAATTAAAAGTGATAAAATAATATTAACAATTATTTAACTATGTACACACTCTCTCTCTCTATGGTTTCAATCCGTAGATTGGTTTGCAGCAATCTTCCAGTCTTCCCTCTTATCCGCCTTCCTATTCATTTTCACATATGAGTCACATCCTTGGTCCTTTATTATCTGTTGAATGAATTCCAAACTTGGTCTACCCCTACGGTTCTTTCCTTCTACTGTTCCTTCTATTATCAATTTCAACAATCCTTCGTGTCTCATTATATGACCTATCCATTCGTTGCGTCTTCTGATTATGTTATTCCATAGTAACTTTCCATCTGATATTCTTTCCAGTACTTCTACATCGGTTACTCTGTCCATCCAAATTATACTTAGCATCCTTCTATAGCAAGTAAATATATGCAGTCGAGATTAAGGTTTCCTAATCAATAATATAAATGAAGATTACGTCTACCAAAAACGGTAGCACAGTGGGTCGAGGCATAGATAGAACAATTATAGATGATATCTGACAGTGATTAAAATCACTATCATAAGAAACGCTTCGATGCAAATCTGTAGATAGTGTTTCATGTAGAGTAATTGGTGGATTATTCCAAAAGCAACAACAACTCTTATTTCTTTAATTATATCCTGATTAGTAGTTATTTGATTTAAAAAAATTAATATATGAATAAATACTAATTATAGTTATTAAATTTAGTATGAAATTAATATTCAATAATTTAATATTGTAATTTATACGGAGAAATTATAAAATTAATAAAGAAATTATATTTTGGTTTACTTTTACATATATAAAAATGTAAGGGACTTGATACGATAATTTTCAATAAAAACTGTTTGTTACTGTAAATAAATGCACTGAACTATAAGGAACTTTCATCAAAAGCAAAAATATACTTTTTATGTAATGTACACTATGTGTACATAAATAAATAATTTAGTGCTCTTTTATAAAAGACAAGGACGTTGTTATACAGAATGAAACAGATTTAATAGGCATCTCTTATAACTTTCGACATACTTACACTTTTAATTGTTCTTTTTATGAGTAAATTTTTACACTCTTGGATTACAGTCTAAGCTAAGTTTTTTTAATTTTTTTCTCCCGGCTAAAAAAAAATTATATTAGATATTTCAAGATAGATTCATTTTTTAAAAAAAAGCTTTATACCACTAGTATTATAGTATCAAACTATCTTAATATTTAATAATAATATTTATTTCACCAAAAAGGCAAAAGAATGCTTTTACAATAAACCAAGCATTAATTTAAAGTTAACGTATTATAAATAATAATAATAACAGATAAATAAATACTAATAATAATTGTAAGCTAATATTAAAACAAGGCACAAATATTATAAAGTTAAGATTCAGAATTAAAATTAAAATCAAAATCTAACCAATCTACTACAAGATAATAGCATTCGATTTAAAGGGTCACTACAACTAGAACATTGAATTTAAAATGACTGGTAAAAAGTAGATTTTGATCGTAAATTGAATGATGTGGCTTTTTATTTGATTTATTCTCACATTTCTGGACAGTTTAAACTATTACTTAAAATTTAAAAAATAAACTTAATATCTTAATATTTACGCCTAGACACAAAAGAGTTTAAATTTAATGTCGATGATAAAAATGCAAAAGAGTATTCTGACCTTAACTTAAACACTAGATTACGTAAGAAAAATAACTTGCACTTTATATATTTTAATTTATGACTTTCAAAAAGATAATCAAAACATAACGATTTAATCTTAAAGAAACAAATTCATACACATTTTTCAACATTTAATTTCAGATAATAATCATTATAACAAATTTTCAGTTTTTATTGACATATCAATTTTAAGATCATCAGCAAATCGCGAAAAATCGTAACATAAAAATATATATTTTAAAATAAATGAATATTAAAAATAAATTTGGGTATACGTTATGATATCTAGCACTTTATTTTAACTCCTCCTGTATTAATTAAATTAAAATACTTTTAATTCTCGTATATCATAAATATACATTTTGTATACAGATTTAAAGGGGTCGATCTTAGCGCAAAAAGTTTTGGAAAACATGAATATCTATAACATCAATAAAAAATTTAGATTTTAAAACTATAAAAAAAACCAAATAGTATATGAAAATTTCGATATTTTTTAGAAATTTATTACGAAATTTTTTTTGAAATTTCCGTGTTTTCGTATATTTGTTATTACTTAAAAATACTTTTATTTTTAGTAGTTTTTGTATAATAGTATTTTATCGAACTTTGATTCAATAGTAAATTTTACTACTACTTAATTTATTCTACGTTAAATTTGTATACAAGTAGCTACATATAATTGTTTAACAATTCTATTAATAAAAATAAATAACCATTGAGAACAAACAAATTGAATTAAATAGGAAACACATAGTTTGACATTAATTTTATTAATCGATTTTATTAATTTTGTATTATAATTTAGTATAATGACGAACGATTAGATATACTTTAAAAATATTTAATTAAGAATCCTATTGTATATACTTCTACAAATACGTCTTTTTTCAGATGTTAACTCTACTATATTTGTTCCTGAAGAAATACCATCGTTATTGTCACTTGTTTACAGCAATATACCACCAATTAAAAAAGGTAATTATAGGTGATAAATGTGTTATGTGCTTGTTATGAATGTTGTNTATAGGTGATAAATGTGTTATGTGCTTATAATGAATGTTGTATTAATTTTCGGACAAATGTCAAGTTATTGTAAGCAAGTACAAAATAATCTTCTATTGGTAACAATAAGTTTTCAATTTTTTAAATAACATTTGATTTATTAAGGAAGATTTAGAAAATATAACTAATAAAGTACTTGTAGTAACAATAAGTATCTATAATTGTGGTATAAACTAAATGGTCGAGTTATATCAAAATAAAAATGAGTAAATTTCTTATTATTAACTAAAAATCTAAACTTCCAATTTAGATCGTTATTTACCATGTAAATGTATATTCTGGATTGGTTTTATTCTTTTGTGCGAATTAATGAGAATCAATACAAATTGCAAGAACTCGCATTAATTTGATAACTTTTAATAATATTAGCAATAAAATAAGAACCTTACATATATTTAGATTAAGTGAATATTATCTTGCAGTACAAGATACTTGTTAAATTAATGAGTTAATATATTAACTCATTGACCTAAATTAAAACAATTCATCAAATTCATCAAAAAACAATGTTGTTACACAATGAAATTATACTCAAATAATATAAACTTAATTTTGAGAGACATCGAGAATTTTACATAAAACCTGTAAAATCTTTTTCAGTTGTTCATTTATATTTTATTTGGTTTTTAACTTATTTTTACTTGAGGAAAATGTACAAATTTTTATTTTATAAATTTTCAAGCTTGGTTTCTAAGAATAGAATTTCGATACTTTTACTGAGTTTTAAACAAAAATTAGATAATATACTAATTTGGTTCCTTTTGTTAGATTTTATGAGATAATAAAAGTTAGCTTTTAGGAGAATAATAAGTACAGAATTTGAAAATATTAAAGAAATTTATTGTTTATTTTCANGGAGAATAATAAGTACAGAATTTGAAAATATTAAAGAAATTTATTGTTAATTTTCAATTTACGAGTTAATCTAACTATGATAACTATGATGAACTATAACTATGATTAACATAGTTATTTAAAAGGATAATGTTGGTCTTTATTTTAATTTATAAATTTTATAGAAATTAGAAGCATCATCATTTTTTTTTATAAATAAATTTATTCTTTTTATAAGTGTTATATTTTTTTATTTTTAAGTTTATACAGAATGATTTTTTATCATAACTCACTTAATTACTCAGAGAATAAAAATAATTTGAGTGGTTTATGATAAATAAATCACCTGTATACTATAGAATATTAAACATATAACATTGAATCTTTAAGTATATTGTTTATTGGTACGTGCCTTACTTAATCTTAAAATACACAATGTAGATTTAAAATTAATAATAGGATAATAAATATCATAATTGTCTTTTATTACCTCGCCTTAATCCCAACTACTCGGGGTCGGCCAAATAAGAATGATAATTGTATTTTACAAAATGAAAATACAGCTATATTTCTTAGAATTTTTTTTGATTATATCGTAATGCTAGCTTGTATTATATCTATATAGATACTTTCAAATAATTAAATATCTGTTAAACAATAAAGTTGATACAATCATACAGAAATTATTTGATTATATAAAATTAATTTTCTAAATTCTTATTTTATAATACGGAATATTTTTAAATTTTAACGTTTTATTAGCTTCGATGCGAAGCGGAGAAGGTATTAATTTTACTATGATGTGTTTTTTTTTTTTTTTTTTTTTTTTTTTTTCTGTTGCCACTTTTTCTCAGCTCTCACTGGACCAATTTCTTTCAAAAATACGTCAAAAGATCACAAATCGTATCTAGTTGAAGACATTACCCTTAAAAATTTTAAAATTTTCCCTCGTTCCCCGCAAATGGGGGAAATATCCAAAAAAATTACAAATTTAAAAATCGCTAATTTTCGAAATTTTTTCATTTTTTTTTCTTAAAACTTCTATAACTTTTTGAAAAATCAACAAATCAACATAATTTTTTTTTATACTAAAACCTTAGATATTTACCTTTCATTTGATATAATTTTTTTGAAAATCTAACACTTAACCTGCTCATTGGGGGGGATTTAAAATGGCAACTTTTTTACAAAAATTAATTTTTTCAACTTAATTTTTGAAAATGTTCCGGAAAGACTGCGTCCTTTAAACATATATCAAATTAAAGCTTATTTTATGTACTATAAAATGAAAAAAAAAAATTTGTCCCGACACTTTTTCTTCTACATGTAAACGGCTGCCGTAGTTAAAAAAACACTATTTTTGTGTTAAAATTTTCGATTTTCGATTTTTAATTTTCAACTTAAAAATGCTATAACTTTTTGAAAAATGTATATATCAGCACAAATTTTTTTTTTCTAAATACATTATAAGTACATCTTTCATTTGACATACTTTTTATTAAAATTGGACAATTTCCCCTTATATAGGGGGCGTTCAAAACTTAAAATATTGTAAAAAACATAGATCTTTTTCAACTGAACTTTTGAAAATGTTCCGGAAATACTGCGTCCTTTAAACATATATCAAATCAAAGGTTATGTTATATACTATCAAATGAAAAAAAAAAATTTGTCCCGACATCTTATCTTCTATGTGCAAATGGCTGTCGAAAATTTAAAAAAAAATGTAATGTTTGCGATAAAAATTACATTTTATCGGGATGTTTTTTGTACTTAAAACTGCCATAACTTTTTCAAAAATGAACAAATAAAAATAATATTTTTTTGTATTGAAACCTTAGATATTTCCCTTTCATTTGATATAATTTTTTTTGAAAATCTAACACTTATTCTGCTCACTGGGAGGATTTAAAATAGTAACTTTTTTACAAAAAATAACTTTTTCAACTTAATTTTTGAAAATGTTCCGGAAATACTGCGTCCTTTAAACATATATCAAATTAAAGCTTATTTTATGTACTACAAAATGAAAAAAAAAAATTTGTCCCGACGATCTATCTTCTATACGCAAATGGCTACCATATTGAAAAATATACTATTTTTGTATGATAATTATGGGTTTTGTATTTTATTTTAATAGAAGTTGATGTTGCTTTTGCAATTATCCATCAATTTTTTAAAATTAAACACTATCTACAGATTTGCATCGAAGCGTTTCTTATGATAGTGATTTTAATCACTGTCAGATTAAATCTATACTGGACCCTACTATGCAATGTCTCCACTATGCCGCGACCCCACTGTGCTACCGTTTTTTTTATTTTATATATTTCATATTTTCCGTTGGAAAAAAAATCTAAATTTAATTAAATTAATTAAATTTATCCAATGGAAATCCAAAATTAAATTTAAAAAATGTAATACACATTTAAATTAATCCAAAACATCGTCTATTGATGATATATATTTTTTACGCATTATTATTATTCGGTTTTGCCAAAGCGGCATGGTGTGGTGAGATTCAGTTTTTTATCGTCATGATAACGATCTGCCCCAACCGGTTTTACTGTTAGGGTAGTGTGTGTGTGTGGATGGTCGCGAATGGCGTCTCCTACTCGCCTTCTCGCATGCTCTGGATGTGCATCGCAGCAATAAAATTACGGATTCTGTATGGCGTTTTGTAAGACATGTCGCAGTTGATAAAGGTGTCGCTGTTAGTTTTTGTGTTATATAGTGTGCGTGAAAGTATTTTAGTTTTTTGTCTTTATTTTTTTATGTGATATTGGAACATAGATGATTACGTCGGGCTCAACTGTGTAGTTCATAGTATATAATTGTACAGAAAGCGTTTGTAATATTTTTTATGTATGATTCATTGTAACCTGCCATCAGTTCAATGTCCATAGAATCACCATGATATTATAATTTTAAATATTGTATTGATTAGTATTATGTTCATTAGTTAATTGTTAAATTAGATACCTACTAACATTAGTTTTTAATAGATCTTGTGTTATTTATATTAGAAAAATAGCAATAAAACACAAAATAGTCTTACAGTCCATAAAATTTTCTTTGTTTAGTTTTAATATTTAATTTATTAACTTTACTTATTTTATATAAAGAACCAGCAAAGACGAAATTTAACTCGGCGAGTAGTCGTCCGAGAAGTTGAGTCACACAATTATAAAAATTATAAAACCGTTTTAATGTTCTGATTGGATATTTATAATATATTTGAATTGATTTTCTATGATTTTAGGAACGGATTCGAGATTTGGTGTAGGTTTTAGACTTGGACCAAATGCGGATGTTCAATTCCAAGTGGAACTTGGCCCACAAACACATACACGACCAATAGGACCATCAAGTGAGACTCCTGATACAACGTCCAAAAAAAGACACGTGGTCGCATCAAATAAACCAGTTGATTGGTTGAATAAATGGCGATTGCAGATGAATCCTGGTTACACCGATGACGTACATAATGAAGACATTGTCGAAGATAATAGTCCCATGTCTCTACAATCAGAATCGGTTAACTCTGATACATTAGCTCATCTGAGACAGTTGTATACAATGGGACAAGTAAAAACACGATAATATTCAATAAATTAATTTTTGCTTGTGATCTTCTTTCTTTTGTAAATAGATTCATCGTAGTATTTATGTATTTTGTAATTTAATTATGTTAAGCACAAATAATGTTTATTTTGTTAAGCGTTGTTTTTAAAATTTACATAACAATATATCAGTCAAATTTACAGTACACCAATAGACTTGGAAAATTGTAAAAATAATATGAAGATAAAAAAATATATTATGGTAATAATTTTTAAATTCTATATTAAAAAATAAAATATTAAAATCTCCTAGAAAAATCTCTTAGTTATTAATAATAATACGAACCCTAAATTTTTTATAAAAATATATTTACTAAAGTTTTATTAAGGGGCTTATAAATAAAAAAATTATAAAAAAAAGTTCAAGCAGAAGATTCTAATAATTACCTATTACTTTTTATATTGTGGTCAATCTGAAATGATTATTAGAAAATAACATTATTATGGATAAATAAAGATATTGTTTATGAAACAAACAAACAATAGAGTCAATCAGCTTAACCACGAGCATGATTTTAATGTAAAAAAAAAAAAAAAAAAATGGAATTCCTTTGCCATAGCTCATGGGAAAAGTTCTTGCGATGGCATTGGTGCAACTATGAAAAGACTAGTTCGTAAACCTGCAACGGTCATCGAATTGTTACGGACAGATTATTTGTCTTTCACTAAAATTGACATTTAACGACTATACCAGTAGCCTAATTAGCACAAACATCCCTACAATCCAACTATAAGTATGCGACGAGCGGGTGTAAACAGTCTTATTTTAATTAATTAAAACTCGTCGAAGTCTGTCGATATTTTACCACTCTCGTAATAATTCATTCATTAACATAATACTTTATCTGTAATAATCACAATATTGTGATTATCGATTATTATTAACAGTGTTCTGTGTACGCCGCTGCCGTTGACTCATCACCTCACTTGAACTACCGGCAAACATCTCTTGAGATCCAGTCAGGTTATAGTTAAACATACTATTTATAAAGAAATTAATAATTTGTTATCGTTGTTAATTAAGATTTTATGTTTATTGATAACTAAACCGCTAACAGCCATTTTAGAAGGATATAAATCGTATATGGCCAACGTAGCTCCATTAAAAACAACATAGCCTACAACTACAACTATTAGGACCCTAGAGTGAAAGTACGTTGCGGAACGATTATATATTAATACCTCAAGATATCCATTCCTTTTGTAAGGCATATATCAAATGTTTCGAAGTTTCCAAAATATTTATTAATACGTCAACAAGCAATACTAGCACAATAAAATGCATGCCAGTATCTAACTCTACACAAGTAAAAATTGGCAAAATACTTGAAATTTGTATTTAATGATTTGTGTTTAAATATAGTTATGTAAATAAAAGAATGACATAAAATTTTGTCCTAAAAAATTAAGTTATTTGTATAACAGAAATCGTCGAATTTAAACCCCTATAACTTTTAACAAAAAATAGTTTCCATCACTAAAATTTTATTACATCTCAGACATCACAACTTGTAAAAAGCTGCAGTAAAAATTAAAAAATATACTAAATTTTATGTATTATTGTTTTGTATGAGTTAATTATAAATAAGTATAAAACAATTTTTTAGTGTTCAAGATGTTAAAAAAAATGAAGTATACATATAAAACTTTAAATTAAAAGTTGATAAACATTAAATTTTACCAATTACTTAAAATGACTGTAAAAAATTAAAAAATCTTATATATATATATATAAAAATTATTTTTCATAATAATACCACATTTCATAGGTTTCATTTATTAATAAACATGAAATTATCTTCTTGGAAAATTATTTTTTAAAATTGTTATCTAAATATTTAATAAATTAACAATCATCATCAATTGTAGTTTTATTTTCTTAAAATGTTTTTCTAAGTTTAAAAATTATTGGACACTACTAATTCAAAAGATTCTAGCTTAGTTATATCTTCAGATAGATGTTTACAAGTAATTTATACATTTTCATTTTTTTAGACTTTTATATATTATGTTTAGAAAGGATTTACTAAGGTCAATAGGTTTATTCATTTTTGTCTCACATTTCGTTTTATTTGAATAATAGCTATTTCTGCAAGAAGTAGATATTTACAACATTTTTGGATGCATTTATTCACATTCTGTTTTTCCCATTCTATTAAAATACGGTCCTTTTTTTGTATTATTAAGACTACAAACATAATTGTTTTAACATTTAAAATAAGTTTATTTGTATTTTTACATTCGTTTAACATTTTTTCTTCATTTTCTTGTACTAACTTTTACCACTCAACATATTTTTGTTCAGATTTAGATGTAAAAATATTAGAAGAATCTGTAATTAGAAAAAACATTTTGGTAAATTTACAATAATAATAATTTAGTGAGTCAAAATGATATTAAAACCATTTAACTATATAATTTCTGACAATGCTAAATATAAAAGAAAATATAATTTTATAAAAAATGAATAACTTTAAAAACAAATTATTGTTTTTACTACAGATGCAATTCTGTTTGAGGACACCGTTACCTCCAATTGAACCAATTGCAGTAGCGTCGTCCACGTGCGCATCCCACTCAACTATTACTAAAAATTATATTAACTAATAATTAATATTAGAAAACTGATTATTGATCAGTTAAGATATTATTTAGACCATTCTCCCTTAAATAGTTAAAAAAATAAGAGGTTTCTATATAATTATTATATTTTACCCTTAAAATGTCCTTCAGAAAACATTTTTTTTTTTACAAAAAACGTAATACTTAATTAAATTTATAGAAATAAATTAACTCAATGAGCACATATCCTAAAATTGTTGTCGGCCCAACAAAATGATTTATAAGAAAGGGTTAAAAATGTTGAAAACATGTATGATAAATTTTTTCATTTTTATTTAACAGTGTTACTGTAAGGATTATTAAAAAATAAAAATACGACAGATATTTGCGTATTTTTAGTATTATTTTCATTGTAGGACATCAGTTTGTGTGTATTTAATGAAAAAAAATATAAACTATAATAAATCCAGAAATATTTTCATAATATCTTACATATACATAGTTGTTTAGAAAAAAACAAGAAATATTGAACTCAATAATTGACTAGATATTGCAATGAATTCCAAAAATAACTTCTATCCCGAAATCTATAGGAATGGTCTGCAGCTCCCCTGAAATAAGCCTGGATTTTGTAATAGTATACATCTAAAAAATCGATTAAGATAGACAGACAATGTGTAGATCATAAACGTAAAGTCATTATCTGCTACATTAAACATGTTTCTTAGAACTATTTCCACCATGTACAAATATTAATGGATTGCAAATATAGAATAAGTGGAGGGACGTAATTAAGGTTTTTTCTTGGGAAGTATTTACATAAAAAAAATTTTTTTCTTTCCACTCCAACGAAAAAAATTTATTAAAAACTATTGAAGAGAATTAAAAGCCACAAGAAAAAGAAGATAAAAAGAATACAATTAAAAACATTCACACGAAAACTTTATTAATTTATTCATTATTTACTAATTGAACACATGAACGCATATATGAAGTGTCATATATGCGACATCATTGTTACGGCATTATTGCCGTAAGGAACTGCCGTTAGGTATTACATCAGGGCGGCCCAAGCCATCTTTTTAATTCACACGTGGAATCTCTCCGGCGACGCACTAACCACCCGACCTGGAGTATAAATTGTTAAATAACCTCCTTAATGAACTAATAGCAATAAAAAAAAAGAAAAATTTAAGTTGAAAAAATAAAATATGAAATCGTAAATTTTAACACCAAAATTGCGTGTTTTTTAACTACGACAACCATTTGCACATAGAAGAGACGTCGTCGGAACAAATTTTCTTTTTGAACTTATATATTATTATTCTTTTAAGAAATGTTTTAGACCACTTTTGTAGATTTTTTTTTGACGACTAGTGCTGCTCCTATCGATTATATTTTAAAGATATTGACAGATGATGGTGCGGCGTGCAGTGTTGCTCAATATTTCGAAGAAAACGTTATCAATATTTCTTTAAATAATTTTGCTGACACATGCGAACCAATTTTATTATGGCGGCACTCAATCTTTGAATTGTTATTACTTTTCAGAATTTTTATTAATTATCGTTCCTGATGACAATATAATATCTGCTTTTCTCCTATTACTAGTAAATAAAGATATCATGCCAAGTCCTTTGATTTGATTAAAAAAATCATAAATGTATCCCCCAACTATGCTTTATGTGCTTAGAGTGAATTAAGCAAAACTAATTTTGTTGTATCTGCTGCAGCACTGCTTGTCGCGAGTTGTACGAAATATTTTCAAGCATTTGGCTAAAATTATTATTAAAGTGTGATGTTGTACAAGGTTTTTTTAAATGGGTAATAAAAATAATAAAAAAAAAAAATTACAAGTCAATTAGTTCAAAAAAGATATAACAAAAATTCAAAGTAAGTTATATTATTTATTGATGTAATAGCGATCGCTGTATTTCAATCAGATCCATAAAAGGGCAGTTAGACGATTTTTCATTGATAGGAAAATATTAGATAGTGTCCCAACTAGAAAATTTTTTCGCTTCGCAATTCATCGTTGTTCCTGTGATTTTTTATATTATTTTGAATATATTCAAAATTTTTTAGCTTCGATGCGAAACTGAGAAGAAATTAATTTTACTATGATATTTTTTTTTTTTGTAACTGTCTCCAACTTTTCTCAGCTTTTACTGGACCGATTTTAATGAATCATATGTCAAAAGATTACAAATCGAATTTTGTTGAAAACATTACTCTCGAAAATTGAAAAAAATTACCCCGTTCCCCGTAAATTGAACAAATTTCGAAAAAATTATGATTTGAAATCGACAAATTTCAACATTTTTCATACTTTTTTGATAAAAATAGCCATAACTTTTTGAAAAATAAATAGATCAAACAATTTTTTTATTATTAATATCTTAGATATATCCCTTTCATTTGGTGTTTTTTTTTTTAACATAAGAGGGATTTTAAAATAACTTTTTCAACTTAACTTTTGAAAAT